GTGGGTTGGGGAGTCGATATAACATTCGTGACCGTTTTTTGTAATTACCGTACATAGCCCATAAAAGACAGAGGCAGTCTTTATATTTTATGTGGTAAGCCACAAGAAATTGATAGCCGATTGATAAAATGGCAGAAATTAGCACTTTTCATCAGACATGGTTAATTTCAAGCATTTTTCAAATTTGTGGGTACATAAAACAAAAATCCAAATACCTAGGAATGGAATTTGGAAGAGCACATTTGACAAAATAACTAATCCCTGCCTGTACAAGCAGGAGGACGACAAGAAAACCCAGGGACATCGGGGAAGCAACTCTGATTTATGTGTGGCCAAGTAACCATTTTGTAAAATATGACCACACGTCTGTGTTGCCAAAATGCATGTAATGTATATGAGCATCTGTTTTGGCTTTGTTTGAACAATAAGGTCTGTTGTTATGACCAGTTCTATAAAATATTATTTGGGGATGAAATATCAGTCTACAGTCTACAGCTAAATTAAATGAGTGAGTGAGTTGTGTTTAATGCTGCTTTTAACAGTATTCCAGTTTATATCACAGGGTGTCAGTTAATAATCCGTGAGGAAAGCCTGAAGTGATGCAGGTCTTAGATATTTACCACTTCGGTGAAACCCATGAGCATGGGTATGGTGCTGACAAACCTAGAAACATAATCGGGGTGAACAGGGATTCAAACCCACAATCTTAGGTTTCTGGCATGCCCAAAGAACGCAACTCTGCACAGCGATCTACATCAAACAACACAATATCTACCTCCCAACAAAAGGCCACTGCTTGTCGTAAGAGGCGACTAACGGGATCGGGTGGTCAGGCTCGTTGCCTTGGTTGATGCATGTCATCGTATCCCAGTTGCGTGGATTGATGCTCATGATGTCAATCACTGGAATGTCTGCTCCAGGCTCGATTATTTCCGACCATCGTCATATAGCTGGAATATTGCTGAGAGTGGCGTTAAACAACAAACAACAACATCACAGCAAGATGGACACATTTAGTGGGAAACATATTTGCTATGTGATTTTGATTCAGGGTTTGTTTCCTATTATTGAAAACAGGACATTTGACAAATAATAGATACTGTTTATTTTATTACACAACAGTTACAAATGCCACTTTTGGCAAAGGATTAACTAAATACAAAGCCTCTAACATAACAAGCATGGCACAAGTTGCAAGTAAAAGACAGTAATGTTGAGATTGTGGTGTGTTATAAACAAAATAAAACTGTCTGTAAAAAGAAATGCTTTTCAGCAGAAGGGTTTAACCTGGCCTGCTTCTGAGTAGCATAAACTGTTTCACCGGATTATTGCAGTCGTAATGCAGGGATTGCTTCATGGCACGAGACCCGGGGGGGTTTAGCTTCCCTGAAGTAGCTGCTGGTCTAACACAGCAATCAAACAATATTGGCTCTCATGAATGGCTCAAGTTTTCTCTTACGTTTCATTCCCCATAAAGCTTCATTAACCTAATACATATTGACAGGACTCGAAAAGACACTTGTTAGCAATGGTCTTGAGGACCTGTCTGTTTATTGCCAAATAGGTTTTTCATGGTATTGGTGGATTCTGAGAAGCTAGAGGTAATCTTTAACATAAATTCTAACAGCACTTGGGATATTTTTATCCATGTTTGTAATCAATACCATTATTAAGCCTGGGAAGATTGAAAACTTCCATCGCCATCAGTAGCATGTCATGCCCTACAGTATTGACTGCATTAGTGGAGGGATGAGGACAGCCACGGATGTAAGGGCGACAGAGACAAAATAATGGCATACGAAAGGAGTTGTTTTAAAACATATATCTTGTTCTATCCCCACCTTACATCCTTGACATGGACTTCTAAAAAAATACCACACAAAAATAAATACCAAAATATGTACAGGATCTAATCATGTGTTTTGGTGCATTACCTGCATCTATACTACTCAAAAGAAGTTAAGGATCGCCTGATTCTTCCATATTACAATAGTTAATCTCTCATGCCATGACAGATTAACATTACCAATATGAAAGAATCGGGTGATCCTTAACTTCTTTTGAGTAGTATATACTGAATACTAGTATTACTGAAAGAACATTCTAGATCATTACCAGTACAACTGGGCAACATTGGGTCGGTACATACAGGCACCGGTAGGAAAGTCCAAGTAAGCGCACTTTAACCTTTGAGCCTACCAGTAAAATACATGCTGTACATTCAGAAAGAAGGTCCAGTCTGTGTTAATAAACTGTGAACTTACCATGCAAAATTTAACATCTTTTTAAGTGGAATTTACATTTGGACTGACATAAAAGCTGAAATGACCTGACATTCTAGACTTGAGCTGGAACTGTGGCTCCGACTGTTTTTCCTATCCAACACATGCATCCTGATGTATGCACATTTTTATTATTTTGGTCTAAAATACAAGTTTTAGGGCCTGCACAGTTCATATGTTCACTTGATACAAACCTGAATAACAAACAATTTGTCTCTATTCTCACTTGTCTCTTTACCTGTTTAGATGTAGTGAGTGAGTGAGTGAGTGAGTATGGTTTTACGCCGCTTTTAACAATATTCCAGCAATATCACGGCGCGGGACAACAGAAATGGGATTGACACATTGTACCCAGGTCGGGAATCGAACCCGGGTCCTTGGCGTGACAAGCGAACGCTTTAACCACTAGGCTACCCGACCGCCCCCCAGTTTAGATGTAAATGCATGCTATGTTTTCATTCTAAAAATTATATCCAACTTTGTTTCAATCATGGCATAGACTGAGTATATCTAGAAACTATACATTTTGAAGCAACATTGCATACACAGATCTGTCTCCTCAAAATCAGATACACAAAGCTCAGTAGAGAGCACAAAGATCTGATTTTAGGGAGAGTGAAACTACTACATGTCTTATTTGTGCACTGGATGTAAAGTGAGGTATATCAAGAGCAACCTGCTACAGGCAGACTATTTACCCTTATGACACATACCATATTTGACGTAATAAGCACCCAGGGCGCTGTCAAAGTTAGAAATAGGGGGCTCTTACTAGAATAATATTTTGTCGAAAGAGTTGAAAGATCGTAAATTTCATGATTTATGCTGACAGCCTGAAATGATTCAAAAGAAAAGTCTGTGCGTATTATACACAACAAATATATTTTTCCAGAATAAGTCTTGTGTACATTGATGGGATGCTAATTGGGATTGTTCACTAGCCAATGTATTAGCAAATATTTCCGTGTGCGCTTATTTATTAGAGTGGGGCGCTTATTACGTCAAATACGGTATATCAAGCGCTACCTACTACAGGGAGACTAGTTTACCCTTATGACACATAAATAATCTCTTAATATACATAAATGTGTATTTGTTTAGAAAATACAGGACTTCCAAGATTTTGAATAATCTAAATTATGAATACTGATTTACCTATCCACAATCAATCAAGTTATCTTACAACAAAAACTTTGGAGATTTGAAAACACGTGTTGATCTCAAGTACTTGAGCAGATATTTATGTTCAAGGTATGTTTATACACCAGCAGTGAATAAGTTATTTATGTACCATTAATTAATATAATAGGAATTTGCATAAAACCTGGCCTTGGATAATATTTCTATTCCTTGCTGGTTAAAAAGGCATGGAACATCAGGGGAAAAGCTTGATACAAAGGTACCAAACTGCATAGCTTTTAACATACCAGTATTAATGACTTCAAAAAATACATTTACTCTAAATTGGAAAGTTTAAAATAATAGATGTGAAACTGGAACAAATTGGTTTATAAAAATAAAATCTATTTCACACAGAGCTGAACTATGAAGTTATGATCAAGCGTATATGTGAAGCCAAATTCTAGTGACTTCATCATGACTGTGATATAGGCACTTCACAGGCTGTTACAGGTCAACACACTAGAACAGTGCATCAAGCACCAGGACATCAAACAGTGAAATCTTATTGACAGTACTTCATAACAAAAAATATAATTATCAAATTGACATGTTATTACTTTATACCATCTCCTTCCATGGTTTACCAACTGATTTTGATGTTCATTGGAGAAATACCCAAATACATTGGGATGGATTGAAGCAAATATGGCTTTTGGAGCGAGAAGCCATGCAGTGTCTGTGATGGTGCATTCATCGGTAACAGTGGGTGCAATATGAATGTCACTGACCTGATATTCCTGCTGCCAACATATTGTTTTAGTGGAGCCATTTCATGTACAGCAGTCTTTAACAGATTACAATGACGAAAGCCAGATTAAAGTGTGATACCGCTATCACACAACTAACTCCCTACAGATCTGGGCCCACTTGCACCAAGCGATCTTAGCGCTAAGGTGATTGCAGTGACTGAGTGAGTTGTGTTTAACACCGCTTTTAACGGTATTCCAGTTATATCACAGTGTGTCAGCTTAATGTGGGAGGAAAGCCCGAAGTGATGCAGGTCTCAGACGTTTACCACTTCGGTGAAACCCACAAGCACGGGTATGGTGCTGACAAACCTAGATATATAATCAGGGCGAACTGGGATTCCAACCCACAATCATAGGTTTCTGGCGTACCCAAGGGACGCAACTCTGTACAGCGAATCGCGGCGCTTAGGACGACTGGGCCTCCCGTGCCCCCTAAAATGATTGTAACTCCCATACTTTTAACATAGGCTTAAGATAATCTTAGCGCTAAGATCGCTTTGTGGAGTGGCACCAGAAGTAGATCGCAGATCTGTGGAACAGGGGACCCTGACTGAGCTGATCTCTGATCCTGCTATATTAGCACAAGATTGGTGTTAACTATTTATTATGCAATGTTTGAAAATCAACATTACTACCTTTATTGCAATTTTATATTTTCTTTCTTCGCTCTTTGCCGACTATGTAGATTTATGAAATAAATAATTATAAAATAACCATAATGAAAACATAATAAAAGAAGTAATATATCCAATATCATTGATGAAGAGATAAAAAACCCAATATGATATATTTTACACTGCTTTTATGCTTTTAAGTTTTTATCCTGTGTACAAATTCACACAATCATTAACTCTTATTTGCAGCCTACATCTGGCTAACAAAGCAAAGTCAGCATTCGAAATCTGTGACAGACTAGAGATTTCTTTTTAATTTTAGGAATAAGATCTCTAACATTTCTGACAGTAGAAACATGCACATACCACATTTAACAGCATAAGGTTACTTCCAAGGAAACATTTTTCATCTTATAGATTTCTGAAGTCACAGTTTTGAACATGTTTACTGTTGAAAAACCACAACAAGAATATAAAGAATACAACGAAACTTTCCATTATCAAAACTAGACTTACCTATGGACCAGTTACATGTTTACACTGAGTCTGTTTGGCTGTCAAAATGACAAAGGCTTCTGCAGCAATAATGGCAATTAACGTTTCAGTGTTTAACATGGAGAAGTAAGAAACATTGTAGTAAGTCTGCATCCCTCAATCACCAGCTGGTCACGGACAGACAGTGGGAGTAGAGTGGTCTGCAGGTGAGTCCTGATGTCTCTGGCCAGGTCCATTACAGAATGGAAGCCATTTTGTGAGGACAACATGTCCTGCGTCACGGGATTAGAATCAGCTAGAATTGTGGGAAATCTTGTGGACCGGAGATATGTAACACTTGATACCACAATGTTGATGAATGAATGCATGGAAGGACCTACATAATCAACAAAGAATTTTCAAAATATTTACTTGCAACTGTTTCATTTCAGTGATTGCTGATCATTTCCAAGCCAGGAAAACAACAATCATGATGCTGACAACAATTAATGTCATATGTATACTAAAATATATGTTCAAAATACATCTTGATTCAACAATGTCACAAAAGAAATACAAAGGATGGATCAGATACATACCTGTATTACAGGTAAATAACAATCACCTATTGTTATCATCGTCTACATGGAGTATTTGATTACAAAACAGCATCTAAAACATCACTGCAATATATAACTACGCAGATAAACAACTGTAACAAGCAACAGAAACAAAAGCTCTAATATTAACACCGGTATGTGTTTCCTAAATTTCTCATTGTAAAAATGATCAAACACACTCAATAAATTACTCTTTGCAAAAATGATCAAGAATGCTTGGAATAACATTGGCAGCACATGGAATAGAAATCAAAATCGTAATCAAATTTATTACAAGTTATTGTGCAAACTATAGCCAAGAAGATATTATAATCAACCTAATCACAAGTCATTGAGTAAACAGTAGCCAAGAAGATATTATACTCAAGTTTATTACAAGTCATTGATTAAACAGTAGCCAAGAAGATATCATAATCAAGTTTATTACAAGTCACTGGTAAACCAAAGCCAAGAAGATATTATGGTGGCCCGTGAATAATAAAGCATGGGTCAGACAAACCAGTGATTGACGTTATGAGCGATGCCACACACCATCAGGGCATGATGTCACGCAATCAACAAAACAACTGCATCTGCACTCATTGCAACCAGCATATTGGTAGGCGGCTACTGACTGACACATCTTATGGAATCTACTGGATGAGTTTGGATCAAAGGTTCAAGATCATATTTGCTTTTGTCTTCTAACAACTATATGTTTTTGCCTCTTCAGGAATTTGTTATGCTGCTTGGTGGTATATTTCATTACATTACATAAATTACATACGACAAATTATCTCAGGTATCTTTTTCAAACATCTTCGGAATACCCACGTGTTTGACAGACAAGGGAAATGTATGTCACTTTCATACATTTCGCAGGATTCAAAAAGAAAATCACTTTTGACACAATGGATCTTGTATGTTTAGATTAGTCTTTGTATTTATTTGTTAATTTTTCAAAGATTCCCCTTCAACGTGTTCAAAATACGTCCTTTATCATTTGTTGAATAGATACAATGAGATAGTAAATATATAACGTCAAAGTCAGATAATAATCAGTCTCAATTATCTGCCGAAACAGATTCAATTGGACGTAAAGGGCGAAATAGTGGGGAAAATTCAATGAAGGGATCACTGACAATCAGTTTCGACACCAGGTGTTTGTAAGAAGGGTAAGCATATCCTGCCCTCCTGGTAGCATCCGACACTCACACAATTTGAAATAAGTAGGATATATAGATTAGAAGCTATAATTCAAGGTAAATCTGGCAACATTCAAGCTGAAAAAGGTGATTAAATGATAAAATAACAATATTTCATTTGACAGCTAGAATTATCACAAGTCTGACTAAGTCCTGTAAAAAAAGGTTTCTTGACTTTGTTCTTTGTTGATAAAGGTGGGTAACATTGTACCATATAGCTGATACAGAGATGTATTAGTACTGCAAAATAACAATCAACAAATTACATAAACCATGTACCAGTTACTTCAAGCACAACCACAAGACAGTTTGATCATAAAAATATACACATTGTTAGCCACTCAATGGCACCAATTATAGGCAAACAGTGATAAAACACCTGACGTGAATATTAAAGCCATTATGCAGTAAGCAATTAACACCCTGCCCTCACGTGGAATAGAGAAACGAATATGATTGCCCAGTTGATCTGTGTGAGTCATACAATATTTCACACAACCAATAACAAGGGTAATATTCCAAATACTGGCCATATACGAGTATATTCATATCAATTATGAATTTATTATTGATCAAAATAAAAATGCAAACTTGTTCCAGAGGATCCAACATTTACAGGCTTGTGTTGATGATCGCTCTAAAGTCTTTGTGAGGATGAACTGCACCTAAATCAGTGGTATAATTAGCTGCCTACCTCTATTATGTCCCTTAAGCTGAACTTAGTGTGTAACCTGAACTGTAGCCGAGTCTCTCGATCTCTGAACCAGCTTGAGTCTTCATTCCAACTCACTAATGCCACCCTTTCACTACGACCCCGAATATCCCAAATCACCCCGAATCGGAAACTTTCGAAATTCGTGATGATTCGGCCAATAATGCAAACTTTCTTGGCTAATCGGGTTGAAAAATATGAGGAATGGGTTAAAAAACATGTACTAATTACAAGATTCATGTACGGATCATGCACAAATTGCCTACGACTAAGTTACGAATATGCCGAAAGTTGTTCTTACTTAATTCTTACATGATTCGTAGTTGACTCGGGTCATTCGTGGCTGTTTCGGGATGTTTTCAGGTTGAGGACAAGAAATTATGGGAGCCACGAATCGTTAAGAATAGCCAAGTGTGCAAAAGAATCGATTACAAAGCTGTTGCGGAACATAAGAATTCATTACGAATGGATTACGATACAGCCACGAAATTGCAATTCGGGGACCCTTCCACGAAAGTTTTTGACAAACAAAAGCTTTCTCGCTGATTCGACGAACTCCCGCGAACTGTACGAATGTTTGGGAATCAAATAAGATTCACTTAAGAACTTCAAGAAATGTCTAAGATTTATCTACGAACATTCGGGATATTCGTGGTCGTAGTGAAATGGGGCATTACTCATGTCAAGTTGTATTATGCCACACACAGCAATGTTCTGGCTAAATGAAGGCAGTCTGTTACGTCTCAGTCTGGACCAGACAATCCAGTGATTGATATTATCAGCAACTCGTAGGGGTGCAATGACACTCAATTAATGAAGTCATCAAGCCTTTAAGTTCGTCTAGGTTGCTGGGGATCAGTCATGGTTACCTCTTCCGTGAAACCCATGAGCAATGATAACAAACCATGGTTGATAATCAGGACAATCGTGAGATTACTTTTGTGTGGAAGGCCTTATTAGTTCTGGCATTCCTCTGCATGGCTATTCCAACAAGGCTCGCATCATGAATGTTACCGTACAGATACCCCTGAATACTGACAAGTATATACCCAAACATCTATATACACTACAGTTGGTGGAAGACTATGGTACAAGTTACCATGGTGACAAACATCATAGATTCTGTCATCATTGGTTTCAAATGTCCCAATACAAAAACCATCTTAATAATGGCATATACTACTCAAAAGAAGTTAAGGACCACCCGATTTGTTCATTTTTACTATTGCGAATCTGTTGTGTTCTTAATGTGTTTTGATTAGTATATAATACATGTCATTATACAGAAAAACCTGATGCTTGGGATGTTATGGAGTCGTATTCTATCACTGGACAGGACATAAGTTGCAAAACTGAGACAAGACTAACGACTTGAGTGCCCGTGTATATAATAGAAATAGTCAATGTGATAGCATATGTTTGGCAGCATGTTAAAATGAGGCAAAGGTTGTTGTTTGTTTGTATATTGCTGCACTCAATAATATTCCAGCTACACACGACTGCCTTCAAATGATAGGGTCTGGACCAGACAATCCAGTGATCGATGTTGTGAGCAACTCGCCAGGGTGTTGTGATTAGATGACACAATCAACCAACTCACTAAGTCTGACCACCTGATGTATTTGTTTGCCTCTTACTACCATCAATTTGAAACTGGAAACCCACTTGGCAAAGACCTCATTACACAAGTTTGAAACAAGCCGCAAACCAATATATCAAAATATTTACGTTTCAATCAACTTGTAAGATCAAACTATTAATATTATTAAAATTCACTTTCAGAAAATGGTGACAATACTGGCTACAGACATCCTTCCTGCAAGAAAAATTCGAAAGAAGTTCATAAATACGAAACTGAAATTGAAATACCTTTCGTATATAGTCTTTAAGATTAATTGACCGACAAGATATATGGCGAGGCAGGTACAAATGAATGAGAAAACACATAATGTGATCATCAATAACGGTGTCACGATATGCTTAGCTCATGTATTGACACAGACTGTGATACTCGAAGTGATCAATACTTAATTTGCATAAATTTTGCATGAAATATTCCACGCAGCCCGGCTAAAAAGGGGCTGTTGCTATCAATCAATATGTGCTTAACTTGCATGACTGATTTATTCCGTTTTGTTCTGATAGTTTGATGTGATTTAGCTGTTTTGTGACACACAGAAAGGTAATGCCAATTGAATGCAATACGAAGGTAGCCATATCCTGTCTGGTAGCGTCAGGTGTCAATTCATGATGATTGATATATTGTGACACCCCCAGTGATCAGTAAGTCAACAGTGAACAGACAATATCAATGTTTGAAATGTTACAAGTACTAAATCTTGACATTTCTAACATTTCAAACAGGCTGTAACATATACAGTGAGTGAGTGAGTATGGTTTTACGCCGCTTTTAGCAATATTCCAGCAATATCACGGTGGGGGACACCAGAAATGGGCTTCACACATTGTACCCATGTCGGGAATCGAACCCGGGTCTTCGGCGTGACAAGCGAACACTTTAACCACTAGGCTACCCGACAGTCCATAACATATACAGAACACCGGGATAAAATACCGACTGACGTTATAGTTACCATTCAACATGATAGAAAATGTGGACAATATGGTAGTTTTTTGCAATAAATAATAAGAGAGCACTTTAAGTATAAGAGCACTTGTCTGAGTAAACAGCTTGACATCAGCTCAACAAAACATATCTGAGATCAAAGGTGACATTTTAAACATTTCAGTCCAAAATGGAAACAGACAATATATTTCTAATTAATTATTCAAACATTTTCACGAATCTGAAAGTGGTGCAAGTTTCAAAAAGAAATTATATCTAAGGCAGGATACATAAACATCACGGACAAAGGTAGAACAGAAGTATTGCGGAGTTGTCAACCATATGCAGGTGGAATATATGTTCTGAAGAGTGAGTGAGTGAGTAAGGTTTCACGCTGCTCCGAACACTATTTCTGTTATATCATGGTATGAGAGTTGGAAGAAAGCCCAAAGTGATGCAGGTCAGATTTACAACTCTGGCGAAAACCCACAACCACAGAATCGTACTGACAAACCGAGAATCATTTTCTGTGCAAACACAGAATTCAAATCTCGATCAGCTGATCCCAGCTAAGGGACACAACTCATCCCAGCTAAGGGACACAACTCATCCCAGCTAAGGGACACAACTCTGTACAGCAAGTTGCAGTGCCTCTGATCAATGGGTCACAAGTGTCCCCGTGACTACATGTCGGGGTCATAACCAAAAAACATGTAAAAGTCACATGTGTTAAGGGTATCTGATACTCTTGTTCCTTCACTTATGAATAAGATCAGTATAAGTAGAACTACTAGAAACGTCATTCACCGAGTTGAAACACTTTCATGACTAATCATAATTTTGAGATACAGATAAAAGGCCTTTATCACTCACCGGGCAGTTCAACATAATAACATTGGTAAAAAAATAATAATAAAAAAATACACATATGAGTAGGATGATCGCTTTCAGAGGTGGATCCAGGACTTTGACAAGGGGTGAGTACACGTAATACCCAAGTCACAAAGTGACAGTCTTCACATCGTGACTTGGTCGAGGGCACAGTTCACGGGTAAGGCGCCTGAAGATAAGTTGAGTGCGCCCTCTGGATCCATCAGTGACTTTGTTGAACTAAACTCACAGCTGTTCCACAAAACATCTTAGCACTATTTCCATTACATAATCGTAGCTGGAAGACTAAGACAGATTTATGGAACATGCTCTCAGTCTGGTATATACGATGTCTTCTACAACCGATCCCTCACAGAGATGTGCACAAGATGGCGGGAGATGATGTGTCGGGTGACAAAGGCTATTTCCCTCATCACAAGTTGGCATCGGGCTTGACCCACTTGTAGGTCCCAGTGTATGTGAAGTTGTACCGTGCACACAACTCATCATTCTCCTTGGGACCTCGGCTGAAACACAAAATAACACATTCAGAAGACACAATAATAATAATAATAATAATAATAATGATGATGATGATGATGATGCGCTAGAAGGTTAGTCACATTATCCATCTCATCCTACCAGGTACCCATTTACTGCTGGGTGAATAGAGGCTTATTTCGAAAAAAGTCCCCTGCCTAAGGAGCCGGCATATAGAAGCCCTACAAACTCTAAGCTGCTAAACATGGTCACCCTATCCATCTATTCTCCATGACCGACGTTGCTCAACTTCATGTGATTGGTGATCTGTATGCTGTGCACAGGACTACGTGCCAGTTAGAAAACAATGAGAAAATGAAAACTTACCAGGAGCTTTTTGTGCATATATCATTCTCAGATATGTATTTGATATTCATGAAATAAGTTCAAAATGGAATGTATGCGTAGAAACTTACAAGTTTAATCATTTTTGTCCAACACTTAAAAACAAAATTTAACATACCACTATGCTGAGCAAATGCATAAAATAGAGAATCTCACTCGAGTGTCTTTTGATATCAAATATATCAAAACGAGTTTCTTAAGTGCAAAAAGTGCTTCAATAGCAGAGCCATTAATGATGTCATTTGATTGTGACGTCATGGTAACCAATGACATCACAATGGACTACAAAGCATTGTGATGCAATTTCATTGCAGCGATATCTACAGTGTAGATACTGCTTGATCTCACCCAAGCAATATCTCCTGTGGGAGCCAGTTTCCCATGATAACTAAGGTAATTATTCATTTTTGTACTTAACCAGTAATGTGTGATAACAATTCTCATGCTTGGCTACAGTTCAGTATTAAGTTTCAGACAACAAAACATGCTCACAGCTGGGGAGGACAGGTGTGTTATAAAAGTAAACATTTCCAATAATGTACGCCAATTTGTCTGTGCACAATATTGCAGTTGTTTGCAAAAATACTGAAGCAATAACTAAATTTCATTAAAATTCCTGCAGTATATCTGTAGTATAAAGTGTGATATACTGTAACACGATAGATGCGTTCAGTTTGAAATAATACAAATGCATTTCAAGTAAAAACAGAAATAAACCTCTTGCCTGATGATCCCTAGCCACCTCCCCAGCAAACACCCAACCTCACATTGTCATACAATCCTCAAGCATCAACAAAGAAACACACTACATTTTGTCTTTTGTTTCTTTACTTGATGACATACTTATACACACAGTCATACCATACATTCATTACTCATATGAATCACATCCATTGACAGATTATGTAGACGCCTTTAAGGGTACGTTTGAAGAATATAATGAAAAAATATACCTCCCACCTGTAAAATCTAATTTATTTATTGTGGCTGTACCAAAAATGTGTTGTGATGTTACCAAGAGAGGCACCATCAGGTTTTAAGTTCACCTTGGACTTGTAATTTCATTAAGCAGCCTAAGAGCGCAATAATGCATCAGATGCACGAGCATGGGCTTTGAGTATGTTCGACCCCTCTGAGGAATCAAATCTTGGCACCTTACAAAAATTATGGGACATTCGACAAATGCAATGGCCCAGTACCAGGGAAGACATTCCAATGCTACTTGCATATAGCAGTGTTCCTGCTGGCTTTTGAAACTGACAGTCCTGGTAGACTGGCAACTCTAAAAATTACCAGTCCCTCCTAATTTTTGCCAGTCCCAACTTTCAACAAATAAAAAAACGTGTGGAAATTATTTGGTTTTCATTCTTTCAACATCATGTTCATTGCAAAGATGTCATCTCGGAGGTAACTTAGTTAGATCTATACATCATTCACACAAACTTCATACACAATTTTCTCTCTCTTTTTTTAAAAATATTTCGAGACGAAGTCACTACAAATGGTTTATGGTTGGTTGGTTTGTTGTTTAATGCCGCACTCAGTAATATTCCAGCTATATGACGGCGGTCTGTAAATAATCGAGTCTGGACCAGAAAATCCAGTGATTAATATCATGAGCATCGATCCACGCAATTGGGATTGATGACATGCATCAACCAAGTCAGCCAGCCAGCCTTACCACCCGATCCCGTTAGTCGCCTTTTATGACAACCAAAGTCACCTTTTACGGCAAGCATGGGTTGCTGAAGACCTATTCTTCCCGGGGTCTTCACGGGTCTTATAAAGTCATGTACTGGATCATACCTATCTCCACCACCTAACCTATAATGTCATGTTTTGGCTTCTTGTTAGGCAGTAGATGCTGCAGATTGTGTTGCAAGTTTTAGAAGGATGAATCACAAGGATTAATACAAAGACAAAAGAACAGAGAATGTGATAACATTCCATTCTTCAGTCGTAAATACTTGTCATTACGGACAGGGCACAACCTTCGACTCAGCAGGCTTCCACTGTATTTCCCCTGATCAACCCTACATACATCCATACATCCATGCACCATGCGGTTATGGGCTGGGAACACCAAATTTGAAAATCAGAGAGTTCCGGGGAAGCCGGACTCATACTCCAAGGACTCTGCTGTAGCTCCCGCCACAGCAAATCGGTGGATTAACGGTGAATGTGAGTGAGTGAGTTTGGTTTTATGCCGCTTTTAGCAATATTCCAGCAATATCACGGCGGGGGACACCAGAAATGGGCTTCACATATTGTACCCATGTCAGGAATCGAACCTGGTCTTCGGCGTGACGAGCGGACGCTTTAACCACTAGGCTACCCGACCGCACCTAGCCGTGAATGTACTAATGACACAACACTGATATACCAGCACACCCTATGAGCAATAACTATTTCCTTCATGTAAAAGTCACCCTAGCTGTGTATCTACACATCAGTATTCATCAATGCATCTGTAAGGCCAGCCTTTTTTTATTTTTAGGATTACAGATTTTTCAGCCCAAAGTCCAGGGTTGGAGGAGGAAAATAAAAGATGCCAGATGCATTTTTTTTAATGCAAAATGCCTCTGGCATACTTTATGAACATATTCTGTGCTCAAAAGACTGCCATTTGTGACGTTAAGCCCCTTGTAACAATAAAAATTCTACCACTTACAACATGGACAATTGTCAAGGGAGGCTATTCATGCTCAGCTTCGAGATCAACAAAGATCAATTATGTATCTTTTTACTAGTTTACAACATAAATTCATATGTTTTATACTAAAAGGTGATGATAACAAATAAAATAACTGACTACGAGGCTATCGTCAGGGAAAAAAAATGGAAATCTGATTTGATTTTCTTATACATTTTCTCAAAAATTAGAGTCGGCGGGTCCGTAATCTGAAAAATATAAAACGCCTGGCCTTAACCAAGCTTTCAACATACTGTTAACATGTAGATAAAATGAACAAACGTTTGCTCTTGAAAATATATTTTATTCAAAACTTTTTCTAATTATTATTCATTATGCACTATTTATTATCAAAGTATTGAATAGTATAAGCAGTATTTATTATTAGCAGTACCTGGATTCATACATCTGAACAGACAGAACATATTGTTACTACTCAACAATGGGGACAGAAAACAGCACAGTAAACAGTAGACATTTACATGTAACAGACACCTCAATCAGCTTATTACAGTAACATACTAGCATTGCATTCCATGTATAACAATGTAAATATATTTCCAAAATCTAAAAACTATAAACACATGTAATGTTTTGAATTATCAAAACTTGTATTCCAAGGCCAAGAAACTTATTTTCTTCCCTGAAAATATGGAACCAGTACATGTATGTGCAGGAATAATAGATAACCCACAAGAACATTGTGTACAACTAGAAAGATAATGTGTAAAATCAAATATAGAACAGTACAGACAAAAAAAAGAAAAATATGTCAAAGTAAAATGCATTTGTGATTTGATTAATGAATCGACAATTATCAACATCAACAATTATCAGCTCATATTTGAAGTACAAAGTGCACCTTGTATGCGTATCAACCACATATATTATCAATAACAAGTACTTGAACACCAAGCACTGGTTTAAGCACAGAATTGCACCAAACAAACTTGGTAAGGAATGATATGGAAGAACAACATGATGCTATTATCATCATACCATCATCAAACCACTGAAAGGTGACATGTATTCCAGTATGGTGTTCTACACAAAATATTTATTCTGTTTCAAATTCATATATTTAGGGCTGATAATTATGAACAAACAGAAAAGCTACCTATATTTGATATGAATGGTATGAGAAAAATGTTAATTTGCTATCTCCAAACTGTTAATGTGGCAAATGCCAATTTCGAGATAAAGATACAAAATTAAAAAAGTGGTGTCAAAGTCCGGACAGGCCTCAAAGTTGCGACTAAAACGGTCACCTGTGCAACCTAAATTTCAGTTTGTCTACTGTCTGAAATACAGAGGTAGCCAAATGACTACCTTGAAAAATATTTTGTGGCAACTAAATTCTATTGCTACACATATGTAGACACAAAAATAAATAACAGTTGATCCTGGAAGAGACGTCTGTTACTTATTGTACTCGCAAATAATTCTGAAATGAATAAATATTAATGTCATCAGTATTTCATTTTAGTTGGTAGTTTGTTGGATAAGCAAGGATATACCTATATTATCTAAATTGCATCATTGTTCTAGTCATAAATAACAAAACTCAAGTACAGTTTTTACTAATATACGATTCCAAGACAAGTGCTATGACTTGTACATATAATAGTTATTTGATAAAAAATACAATATTGGCCTGACTTCTTGATTTTATCACTGGCTGCCTGGAAAAAAATACTTGTAGTCATATGGCTACTTGGTAAATATCTAAACTTGAGGCCTGTGGGACCAAGTCTAATGTTTGCGATAGCAACATGGAATTTTTATCTTGATTTTGACATCAGCAGTTAAATTAATATGTATTTATATGGTGTGGCAGCTGGCACTGGAGAAAATGTTTGAGATATCGATACATTTGAGATAACAGGGTGTAGTTTGTATTTGTTGTGTGTGACTACCCAACTGATATGAACAGCAATGTAAAACTGAAAG